ATTCGTAAGTGGATTATTGATTGAATGCATCGATTGATAATTACGTAATTACTTCAGTCGTTACGGACATCTCATCATGTATAAGCATTACATCTCATTTTAAACTATTCACTGATGATCTTCCTCCCCCACTCTATGCCGTTGTCTAAGAATGAGAGTGTGCCACCATGCGTCGCTTATGAACGCGCCATCACACTGACGGGTACCCACTCTCCTCATACCGATATGCTATTTGACGTTCATTGGTGAATAGGTTAAGTACACGTCAGGTATACGGAATCCAATTGTTGATATAATAAGCTAAATCAAATCTCAATAGTTTTGGCGTTTTGCCAATTAGCGTGCGAACTCTAGCTTTGTCAATCATTCACTTCCTACGAAGTATGTTCATTATCGAACAGCCCCTGGCAGACCACTCGATAGGGTGGAATCGAGTTGTGCACTGAGTCGATAGGTGTTCGATATTCAGTCGATGGTAATGTTACCATTACCATCGACTCAATATCGAACACCTATCGACTCAGTGCACAAATCGATTCACTCTATCGAGGGCCTCTCGAGTAGACCTCGAATGGTCCGCCAGGGGCCCGGTGCGCCAAGTTGACTTTTTTCCGCATCAATTTCCTATGGACGAGGTGTGAAACAGTATATTTTATATCAGTATATCAGTAGGCCGAAAAAAACTTTTCTAGCGAAGATGAGGTTTGCAACAATCATATTGGTCGACAATTTTTTTTTGGCCGTATGACGCCCACTATTTTTTGTCATAACAGCCGTAGTCAGCGTTTCGTGGACGCGAAGCAAAGCAACACAGCCGTAAAACACTGTCTTACAGCCGGAATGAGAAAAGCCTTTATTAACAATAATCAATTTTCCAATCGGAACTAAAACTGCGGAAAATTATCCTAGTTGACGCTGTCAGCATAAACTTGGCATTTTTTAATATTTCCATGTTTTTTTAAAAAAAAGATGATATCATAATCAGTTCGCCTACTGTGTGATTTCAACTATTCAGTAATTGTCCCTTGTTTCTGTCTTGGAGGCGATCAGATTCACGTGGACTTGGCGCTATTTTTTCACAAAATTTTGTTGTGATTTTTTAAATTTTCTTTAAAGATATTTACAATTTTGAACTCATTCAGATGGACGCCATGATCGTGAACAATTAATTATCTGGAATATCATTAGAGTGGAATCTTTTGCGTACACGGAACCTCACGTTGTAGCGCGATGATCACTCGAAAGCGCAAGACCAGGGGAATGATTTTGCGCGTTTTTCCTCGACTTAAAACTTATTTTTTTGCTCCCGTTAGGAGGCGTTTTGCGGCGTTTATCAGATGCGTTTTAGAACACTGAAAAGTTAGGTATGTGGAGGTTAAGTAAATAATTGCATAACCTAATATTATTCCATTGGCCAAATTATTGGTAAACTACTCGACCTCTGAGTATATTACGAATATCTCCGATCCACCGATAATTTATTACTCAATCCATCGTCAATTGTTTGCAACAGTTTGATAGAAAATTCAATTTGAATTATCACCGCGCCCGTGTTCACAAAATCTGTACACAACGCCTGCATTCCACGCCCCCTAACGAGAGTAAAAGAATAATTTTTAAGTCGGGAAAAACGCGCAAAATCTCTCGGCACTGTGCATTTGGAAGAAATATAATTTTTTTATTAACTTTTCAAACTTTTTTCTTCA